TCTTGCCTAGACATATATTTCTTGATCTGGTATGTATAATTTGTCAGTAAGCTGTTGGGCTAATATGATTCCCTCTGGTTTTTAAAACTAGCAAGGCATTATTTATCTCTCACATTGTCTCACCCCTCCATCATGGTTTCCCCAATTAAGGTGCCCCCATTTCCCCCTTTCTCCCTTAATAATACCCTTCTCCTATGGTCCTACCTCTCTTGGGCTCCTTTTTCCCTTTATCCCCTAGGTTCTTTGTATACCCTTCCCTCTCCCTCCCTTAAACTAACTCAATTTTTATCCATATCTCCATTATTAACGCCTGTTCCTACTGTTCTTCTCTTTCAGGTTCTTTCTTTTCCTTTACCTCCCAGGTTCCTTTCTATTAACCTGGTCCCTGCAGTTATGTCTGGATACATGCTCACTTATCAGGGTTTGGTTCTAGGATCCACATATGAGGGAGAACATATGTCGACTTTTTTTTCTGAGTCTATGTTACTTCACTTAGTATAATAGTTTCTAGCTCCATCCATTTACCTGAAAGATGATTTCATCTTTCTTTACTGCTGAGTAAAAGTCCACCATAGAAATGAATCACATTTTCATTATCCACTCCTCAATTGAGGGACACTAAAGTTGTTTCCATCTCCTAGGCAGCATCAAACATGGATATACATGGATATATAGGATGCGTTCTTTGGGTATATGCCAAAGGAGTGCTATAACTGGGTCAAATGGTAGGTTCATTTGTTGTTTTTTAAGAGTTTGCCACACTGCTTTCCTTAGAGGTTGAACAAGTTTGTAGCCCCACCAGGAGTGGATGAGTGTTCCCCTTTCCCCACATCTTCTCCAACATTTGGTATCATTTGTTCTCTTGATCTTAGCCAGTCGGACTGGGATAAGATGAAATATTAAAGTGGTTTTAATTTGCATTTCCCTAATTATTAGTGATGTTGAACATCTTTTCAGATGTTTCACAGCCATCTTTACTTCTTTTGTGAATTCTCTGTTCAGCTCCTTAGTCCATCTTTTAATTGGGTTGCTTCATGTCTTGGTTCTGTTTTTTGAGTTCGTTATAAATTCTCGTTATTAAACCTCTGTTGGATGTGTCACTGGT